CCATGGGCGATAAATGTTTGGTCATTTGGTTTTATCTTCACATCAGTTTGGGAGGACAAACTGATAAAAGGTTGCTGTATGCACGTCACGGATCAAGAATCAATACTTGTTATGTGCATGGTAGCAGTAGCCGATCCGACTGAATTCCAGGCTGTGCGTCTCACACGCTGGTTCCCGCACGCACAGACGCCTCAAAACGGGGTTTTGGCTCTGATTTGACAATTTTCATATTGCTAATACAAGCAAATATGCGATTCCCAGGAAGTAGTTACTCCAGCCCAACCCTTAGAGATTGACTTAATTATCCCGTCAGTTTGCAGCCTTCCTAACGATTATTTCTAACGTATGTATTGTAATGATGAAACATGACGCCGGATCCAAATTTGGTTTTTTCTCTTTCCCGTGTTAGCGTCGAATATGCATTCGACACTAACATCATGTTCAATTACTGACACGACGTAAATATTTCACTTAACGTCTGCCACGTTTGTTACAGTTTAATTGGACAGACCAGCCCGTCCAATCCCTCTGCATACATTTTAGTTTTAGGCTGCCTTACCAGTATGGTCCGTTCTGGTTATGCCCTCTCCAGATGCCCATCACACAGAGGGGACATTCGTTGTAGTGTTAATAGTCCTCCTGCTTGGCTAGTCATTAGGAACCAGTATTTAATGTGTCGCACGCCAAATAATATTTGGTCGTAGTCACCGATGATCCGAATGCATTCTGCTCAGCATAAGGCCCCCATCAGTCGTATTATGGTTTCCATCCCTCTTGCAATTTTCATTTTTGTTTTGAATTGACTCGTAAGCAGTCTACATTTTATCTTACCTTTAGAGGCGGAAGTGCGGCTACCAACGGCCCTGATATACAAGCCCGGCTAGATGAATTACAAGCTGAAGTAGAATACCTGGAAAATCTCGAGAAGAAAGTTGATGAGCACCGATCAAAGGTCCTGCAATCCCTTCAAAACGTCCAGGAAGACTTGGATAATCGGAAGTACTCCTACGTCACCCATCAAGACCTGATGAGCGTGTTCCACGACCGGACATTGCTGGTTATCCGGGCTCCTGAGGGTACAAACCTTGACACGCCAATCCCGAACAATCCTCTAGAACAACCCGCACATTCACTTTTCGCACTGAAAAGATCCTATAAAGTAAGTCCGAAGCACGTACGTAAATCTGCCACTAAAATCCATATAAAATGGTCACAAACCCGGACGCGGGACAACGCCCAAGTCCATAGCTCACAGAATTCGGCTCAGCATTATTCTTGTCCTGTCGTCTTTTCCCAGTTTTTTGGATTTCATTACTAGCCATTGAAAGGTCAGCCGCGAGACGATACAAGAACCATACTATAAGTAAACGCATAACTACTGTCCACGTGCAGATGAAACTTCTTGAAATTCACTTCCCCTACTTATACTAGGTAACGTGAAAATAACCAGAATTAGTCATCAGACCATCGAACTGTTGTTCTGTGTAACCTACATCGTCTGTTTATTGAATATCGTAGATCGCACACAGAGTTAGCGAATGTTTGAAATCGGATAATTGTCTTCATCATAGACCATATATTTGATCCCTTATTCTAATTCTTTTAAGATACACTTGAAAAGTCCTTCAACAGCTGTCGAAGTCCTGCTCGTTAATCCCGATGACAATGCAGAGAAAGCACGTATACTCCCAGTCGGCGTATCTGGGTTCGACCTCAGTGGTGCTCGCCGATCAGGACGATCAGGTAAGGTTGCAGCCAATCCTACTTAAATGAAAACCTTAAAGACAAACTAAATGCGTTTTTTAATTTAGTAGATGAACACCCCGGAGCCCTGAATCCTCTTCTGCCCTTAAGTCCGCCGCCACTTGACCGAGATTTCACGTATAACCTTGAAGATACAGAAGGCCTGTGCGACCTCTTCGATGTACCAACAGACCAGAGATATGCAGATAGGGCGTCGCCCAACTAGGGCATACCTAACTGCTTATTTTGTATCAACTGTATCTATCTTTGTATAAAGTGTGCTCTTTACTGAGGGAATTTTTTTATTGAAACGAAATTTAATATGCAATAGGGGGCTGTTGTGTGGGGAGGAGATTGAATCGCATCTTCAGGGTGACTCTTTGCTCAGAGAACTTGTCATCTGGCGAGTAGCGTGCCGGGTGAGCGCACTGGGTCGGCCTGCCTTCAGGATCAACGTACTGAAGAACAAAAATACGGTTGGAAAATCTGATATAAGTACACTGACATTGGAAATAGTTGGAATTTCAGAGCTAGGAAGTTTTTCGCTATATAAGTGCTGTCAAGATGCAGAGGTTTTGACGATCAAGCGTATCTAAATCAAATAACTATAATTGCCAGACAAACCCAGTCCGTAAATGATGGACTTGTTGTATTACTGCTCTACAGTTCCCAGTGTCATGGTTCCCTATCGCAACAGGCTTGCAATTAAGCGCACAAGAATTGTGAAGCGAACGCATATACGCGAACGGCATAAAAGCAACGAAGAGCTCATTCGCAGTCGTCTTCCGTTCATCCGT